CTTATCCAATGGCCAACCAGGAGCAGTTCGTTTTTCACTCCCCCTCCTCTATGCAACATAATTATTTTCATTAATAAAAACCACACCAAAGCCATTGCCGTGAGTCAATTCCAACTCATAGCAACCCTATAGGGTTTCTAAGGCTGTAGTCTTTACGGGAGCAGATTGCCAGGTCTTTTCTCCTGCGGAGCGGCTGGTGAGCCAACCTTTCCAGTTAACAGCCGAACGCTTAACCAGTGCGCCACCAGGGCTCCTTATTTTCATTAATAATCGTGACGTAAAATGAATAGTAACAATGGTCAGAAAATACAGTGAACATTTTCTTTTATTGAACTTCAAATATATATAATTGTGCCAGTGAAGAATAATAAGCAAATACAATGTGGCAGTACAAAAAAAGAAAGTAGTGGATTAATACTTTTAAACCACATTAATGTCTTTTTTTGCAAAAAGGAAAGAATAACACATTCAGAAACACTTTCAAAAGGGTGTCCCCCGTGAGGTTCAGAGTATGAGCTGTGCATGGAATGACCGGGTGGCAGTCCCGCAAGCTCCGTTTCTTCCTCTCCACAGGCACAGAGCTACCATTGTTTCTTTCACATTTCCCGTGTAAATGCAGATGCATGTAGCTAGTACACAGGAGGTGGAGGCACGAACTGTGCCTAGAGGAGTGCGAACCATTCCAAATTGTCATGAAACTTAAATGCTGTAGCTGCGTGTTGGGGGCAGACTGTATAAACTGGAAGTTCTCTGGATTAGTTTCCATATAGAATACAATGTTCACTACAGGAAAAGTAATAAAAAAAAGAAAAGTGTTATTATGTTATTAAAACTTAACAGTTAACTACATTGTTTAGAACTTAGACCAACAAAAGATTTTTAGGAGGAGTGTTTAACCAGTGACTTTGTTGAGGATTGCCGGTGCATACCAAAAACCAAACCAGTTGCCATCGAGTCGATTCCAACTCATAGCGACCCTATGCATAGTGATAATAAAAAGCAGACTGACTTTTTGTAGGTTTTATTATTGCTTTTAAATTCTTTACAGGAGGTGTGCCCCCTCACTGCCGGCCCCCCATCACTCCACCCCTGGTGTTCCACTCTGCTCATTTCACGGGGAATATCATTTTCCTGATCATAACAGGATGTCACCACTGGCCATCCCCAGAAAAGGGTGAGCAATGGAGTGACTGAGGGAGCCCTGCGTCTGAGTCCTAGCCCCACCTGTTATAACATGCTGTGTGTCTTTAGGGAAGTCACACCTTCTCTGTGCTTCAGGTGGAGGATGGAGATGTCAGGCCTAGTGGTGGAATCAAGGGACAAAGGCATGCCTGCTCCAACCCTCGGCAACTCTCTCGGAGTCAAACCCAGGTCGGGACTGGGCCAGGCCTCCCGTTCCTGCTACCCAGCTATCCTTGCACTTTAAGCCAGTTTCTAATTCATGGAGACCTCATGTGTGTCAGAGTAGAACTGTGCTCCACAGGATTGTCAATGGCTTCGGAAGTTGATCGCCAGGCCTCGGAGGCGCCTCTGGGTGGACACCAACCTCCAACCTTTTGGTTTGTAGCTGAGAGCATTAACCACCTGCACCACCCAGGGACTCCTCTTGCATATTAGGTAAGCCTTTAGTGCTCTGCGGGGGCCTCTCACGTGGAGGGGCCGATCTCCAGTGCCCCAACAACCCCTGCCATTGGAGTTGCCTCGTGGTTGCCACCGTGGCCGCCCCTTTTCCCAGCCTGTACAGAAACACCTTCCCACTGTCAAGCTGTTGCAGAGGCCCCACAGCACTGGGTTGACATTTTTTTCATTTCTGTCACTTGACCACCTCATTTCCAGGGTGTTGTGCTGCAGCTGGTTGCTGTTGGGTGCCGTTAAGCCAATTCTGACTCATAGTGACCCGATGTAACAGAGAACTGTCCCATAGGGGTTTTCTAGGCTGTAATCTTTACAGAAGCAGATCACCAGGTCTTTCTCTTGAACCACCAATCTTTTGGTTAGCAGCTGAGAGCTTACCATTGTGCCACCAGGGCTCCTTGTGCTGCAGCTGACGTTGGTTAAAAGGCAGCCTCGTTCCCTGCCTGGAACCTCTGCTCCTTGATTCCCATTGCAGGGCTGCAGGGACACCAGAGTGGCTGGAAGAGCACACACATACACTGAAATGCACACTGTTAAGTTTCACATTAATTTAGCTAAGGGTGCAGATCTACTGGAGCCAAGTGTCCACAGGGCAAGAACAGATACAGCATGCTGCAGCTGGCTCTTCCCTTTCCCCTGGGCTCCCTGTGGGGCCTCGAAGTTGTTGCTACTTGGAATCAACTCAACCGTTAACGGGTTTGGTTTTTTGGTTTTCTCTAAGTAGATAGGGTCCTTACAGAGCTGAGAGGATGGCTGAATTCTTGCTAAGCCACAGTCTTTTATACTCAGGCTTCCATCACATTCCAAAAGAATCTGCATAACAATGTAGGCACTTCCATGTAAAGGAATGTTTACCAAGGCTGGATCCCTCTGTTTCTGACCCCCTCCTCTGCTGCCGTCATCAAGTAGATTCCAACTCTTAGCAACCCTATCGGACAGAGTAGAACTGCCCCATAGGGTTTCCAAGGAGCAGCTGATGGATTTGAACCACTGACCTTTTGGTTAGCAGCCAAGCTCTTAACCACTACGCCACCAGGGCTCCACTCAGTTTCTGAAGCTTCAATATTTCCATTTCCAGCCTTCCACTAACCTGAATAACTCTTTTCCCAAGCTCACCTTGCCAGACTCTGGGTCCCTTATTTCCATGGGAGCCTTCCCCATATGCATCAAGCATGGCAGGAAAGGTCTGAGCCCCATTTGTTGGCAGAGGGAGTTCCTCTTGGGATGCTCCCCTGTGAAGACTGGGAGCATTCAGAGTCTGCCCACACTAAGGGACGGCTGGGGAGGTTTTGTCTGCCCACAGCACACAGAGAGCCCCATGAGGGGTCATATGTTCGTCCCTTCATCAGTCTTGAAAACTCTATGGAGCACAGTTCTACTCTGACACACAGAGGGTTGCCATGAGTTGGAATCAACTTGATGGCAACTGGTTTGGTGTTTTTGGTTTAGTGTTCCATTACATTTTTGCCCTTGCTTTAATTTGGATTGTCACCAATCAGGTCTTGCCTGACAGACCCCAAAAGCTTACTAACCACAGTCACTCCTGTCAGTCACCACCACCACCATTGCTGCATTTCTGCTCTCAAAGCTAAATTTTGATGCATCACTTAGTATCTATTTCAAGGCATGGATAGGACAAGAAGATTACCGAGTAAAAGGATGGTTTCGTCTGGATTTACCAGAATTGGTCTGCTGTGTCATATACTTATTAATCACACATTCAGACCAAAGTACATGAAAAACAGTCATGTTCTTCACAGAGAATTTTGGTGGTTTGTAACCTTGGTCTCATCTTGCTGTCTATGTCCTGAGTTAGAACAGGAATATGGGAGAGTGATATAACTTCTATTGTGGGTAAGCAGATATGAAGATTATCCATATCCTCTGATGATCCAGCTGCTGCAAACTCACAGAATCCATAGACACATTTTTCTTCATCATATGTGAGAATAACCACTGGACTGTGGTCCTGTGTACCTACTGCCATCCCTCCATGCTGAATACCTAGTGGCTTGTGATGAGTTGAGTACCTCACTAAACAGCCTCATCCTCATCCTCAGGTTCTCTAAGGTTTGTCTTCTGTCCAATCCATGCACTTAGATCCCTGGTGGAAGAAAGACTTTGCTCCAGGCAGCTGGTACACTGAGATGGTGATTGGCAGACCAGCTGAGGGTGATCTGACACCATGCATTCTCTCTTGGTTAGTTACATTTACAAACTGGATCCATGGTTTCTCTGCTCTCTTCACAAACTTTGACATTCAGACTTAAAAATGAAGTGCCAAGTGATTTTTATATAGGGAAACAAAGGCAGTTTTGTTTTGTACCAATACCAATGAAAGGTTGGATATATTCTTTTCAAAAAAGATGGCAGAATAGTTCCCATTTAGGCCTAGAATGAACAGATGGTTGCCAGGTTTCTAGATAACTGATTTCTGTACTATCTGTTCAGACATAAGCTTCCTTTTAAAATGTGCTTAGTTAGAATTTCCTCATATACTTCAACCAAAACAACATATTGCAACACACTGAATGCAAAAGTACAGAATGCAGAATTTAGTTGTCTTCTATTAGCCAGGCATTAAAAATATTTCCAAAAATTGTAAAATAATGCCACTCTTCTAGTATTTTTTTGAGAAAAGATATTTGCGGAAAATAACACTTGTCAAAGAAATAGTATAAGAAAAACTCCCAAACTGAAGGACATATGATTCCAGATGAAAATGACCTTCCAAATGCTCAGCACAGTAAAGGACAAAAAGAGAAGGTGGCAGAAGCGGGACAATAAAAGAAACAATAACAAAAAGATCTACCCCAAGCTCACATTATGAAATTTTATCACACCTCAGATAAGCAGAAGACCCTGAAATGTTTCAGACAGGAATGAGATTATATATAAAGGGACAGGAATCAAAATGGCATCATCCTTCTCAATAGCAACACTGGAAGCTACAAGACAATGCAGCAATACCTGAATTCTTAGGGAGAATAATTATCAACCAAGATTAATATTCCCACCCAAACAATCCACTGTGGGGGTAGAAGGAAGCCATTTGTAGACACTGTGTGGTAGAGTTATAAGAACAGTCCCCAGTGAATCCACACCACCTTGCATTGTGACTTCGCTGCTTCTCCCAATGGGAAGGAGTCTATTTCTTCACCCCTCTGAATCTGGGCTGCCCTTGTGCACATGGCAGAAATGATATTGTGTGAGTTCCGGACCTAAGGTTTAAGAGGCCTTACAACTTCTCATCTTTTTTTTAAATTATTTTATTGTTTTCAGTAAACATTTACACAGCAAATTAGGTTCACATTTAACAATTTCTACGCATTTTTGTTCAGTGACATTGGTTACATTTTTCACAGAAAAAAATGGAACGCTTCACGAATTTGCATGTATGTCATCCTTGTGCAGGGGCGATGTTAATCTTCTCTGTATCGTTCCAATTTTAGCATCTGTGCTGTCGAAGCAAGCATGCTTCTCATCTTCTTGGAACCCTGAGACCACTAGGCTGTGAAGAGACCCAGGCACCCTGACTGGAGGATGACATCACGAAAACTGACCAATCAAGACAGAGCAATAAAACGGAAAATTCTTAGAACAGCTTAATGCTATTTTCTATTGGACTGTCTTTTTCTTTAAAATTGTTCATGTACTTAGGGCATGAAATTTTTATTATATTTTGCAAATATTTTCTCCCTTTTCTGGCTCATTGTTAAACTTATGGTATATCTTTTGTGATGCACAAGTTTTGTTTTTGGTTTGTATTTTTAGGTGGTCACATCAATTAAGAATTTCCTTTATGTCTTTGAGGTTTTGTTTCTGGACTAAGAAGGTCCTTTCCATGTAAAGATTTACTTATTTTTTTCCTTAAAAAACAGAAAAGAGAAGAAAGAAGTAACAGTATGAGGAACTGGTTGGTGCAGTATGGTGGTACCTACCAGACAAGACAGCTCCGAGTTTACAGTGGTTGTCTATAAGGAGTGGTATGGAGTGAGGAGCGGCCAGCCAAGGAACTGCTGCTTTTCGATTGTTAACTCTTTCCTGCACAATCCCAACCTGAAAGCTGCACTGAGTTTGTGTGTCCCAAATCTGACCACTTATGACCCTCACTTCAACCAGTCTGGTCAAAGCCTCCACCACCTCTTGCCTAAACGATCAGGTCCTGCTTCCAGCTTTGCCCCATTTCAGCTATCTATTGCTGTGAAACAAATCACTTCAACATCAATTTATTAAATCTCAATTTTGTGGTTTTCCTGGCCTGAGTGGCGTGGTCCTCTGTGCACAGCTGGGGCTGTGGTCACCTGTGGGCTCAGTTGGGCAGAATGTCCAAGATGGCTCACTCACCTGGTTGGTATTCAGTGCTGGCAGTCCGCCGGATCCTCACCTGGGGCTGTCAGCCTGGGGCCTCCATTCTCCACCATGTGGCTTGGGCCCAAGAGTTAAGAGTTGCAAAAGGAAGCAGAAGCTGCCAGTCCTCAAAAGGGCTGGTCTTGGAAGTCCCAGAACAATCCCTTCCACTGCCTTCTAATGGTCTAAGTAGGCCAGCCCAGATTCAAGGGCATGGAAGAATTATTGGGGACCATCTTTGGAGACTAGCTTATGACCCCCTCCAGTCAATTCTCATTTCCAGGAGGATCTTCTAAAAACAAATCAGACATCACTCCCGTTGAATTCTCCCTAACAGCATCACCACACTCACACCTATAATGTAACGCCCAGCATGAACTGGCCCCTGCCCAACTGTCCCTGACACCTCTGCTCTTCCCACACTGGTCTTCCTGCTGTTTCCCCAGCAGCCTAAACTTGTTACCCCTCACGGCCTTAGCCTAGTTTTCCTCCAGGCCTTCATCTGCTTACTTGACTGTCCTTACTGCTTTCAGGCTCCGGATACCTGACATTATTTATTTGCTCATCTGTTTTGGGTCTCCCTCACTGGAATGTAAGGGGCCCCGGTGGCACAGTGGTTAAGCACCCCTCTGCTAACCGAAATTTTGGCAGTCCGAACCCAGCAGCAGCTCCGCAGGAGAAACGATGTGGCAGTCTGCGCAAAGACTGCAGCATTGGAAACCCTACTGGGCAGTTCTCTCTGTCCTGTAGAGTTGCTGAGTCGGAATCGTCTTGATGGCAATGGGTTTGGTTTTTTGGGTTTTCACTAGTGTGTGGTCCTTGTGGGCAGGGTCTTTCTGTCATATCCTGTATTCCCAACACCTACAGCAGCATTGACTACAGGGATGATACACCATAAATACATTCTGCTGTTAACTGATTTTTTTAAATTTTAGGTATACACTACTTTGACAAATATACAAATTTTAAAATAGGAAAAACTACAGTGGTAATTAGCAGACAGATCCAATAATACACCACTCCTACATATCCACTGGCATAAATTTCCACCTTCCTAATAAAAGCTGACAGCTGTTTTCCTGTGTGCCCAATGGGGCAGCTGCTATGGCAAGTCCAGCCTCGGAAGGGCCTGTAATGGATCTGCCCTCTGCACGCATGTAACTTGGATGAACTCATCCAACACTCTGGGCAGAAACCAGGGAAATGCTGCCCTTTGCATTTTTTTTTTTTTAAATCCATTTTTGGTGTCAGCTGTGTCTCATCAATTCACTGAATTTAATTAGAGGACTGAATGAGAATTCCCAAACGACGGCTTTTCGATGATTCTTCAAGCCACTGTAATCCAAGTTTGTCAAGTGAAATGAATCCACATTTATCCAGGGAAGCATGACGTGTGTATTCAGGGTAGAATTCTTATAGACACACATCTCACAGGTGTAAAAGAGAAAAGTCCAAGTAAAATTAACAAAGGCTGTTTCCTGATAAATTTGTGGCGAGGAAACACTCCGTACTGCTTTAGTTTCAGCAGGGTTCAAAGGCGGCGGAGCACACACACTGACAATATCCTTTTGGCAAATGTACTAGGGTTGGATTTGTGAGGGAGAGACTGTGGAACAGGTCTTCAAGTACATTTGGCAGTCCTTGGTTAGCTGCAAGGGGGCAAGCCAGCAGTTGGGGGACATTTCAAAAGAGGAAGGATTGTAGAGGTGAAGGGTTGTCTGTGGCTAGCCATTTCCTGAAACAAGAGGGCTTTGATGGGGTGCTGTGTTGCAGTTTAACCGTCAAAGTGGTCTTTATGGGGGGAGCGGCTGCAATGGCAAAGTTTTCTCACATGGATCACCAAATTTCAAATAATTGAAATTGTAGAGTTGAAATGTATCTTCAAGTTCACCCAGTCACACTGGCCCACCACCCGTACCCCTCCCCCATCCCAAGTCTAATTAAGGAATGGAAAAACTCAGACACAGTAGTTTGGTGTCTAAGCCTTAGTAAAGGTTAGAAGCAGAATCACAAACAAATTTTCCTGAATTCTAGGACTGTGAATATAACCATCATGTTTTTGAAAAATAAAACAAAAGTACAGTTGGTAGCAACATAAATCAATCAGTCCCAGCTGGACCTATTAGTTGGGCCTGCCCACAGCCAGAACCCCTGCTTCATCAGTAACAGAGCCCTGCCTATATCCAGGGGCTCAGGTGCTTGGGGGCCCTTACCCAGCACTGGGGGGGGGGGGGTGGGTTTTGATTGGTCTGTTGCTGATAGGTGTTCGAGTAGATTCAGACTCATAGCGACCCCAACTGACAGAGTAGAACTGCTCCACAGGGTTTTCTAGGCTGTAATCTTTACAGGAGCAGATCGCCAGGTCTTTCTCCTGTGGAGCCGCTGGGTGGGTTCGAACTGCCAACCTTTCAGTTAGCAGCCTAGCACAAACTGTTTGCACCATCCAGGGACCTTGAGGATGGATATATATGTGATAAACAGGCACAGCAACATGTTTACAGTAGAATATAGGTAGTATGTGGATGTTCACTGCAAAATTCTTTCACTTTGTCTGATAATTTTTATTAAGAATTTTGGGAAAAATAAGATAGAATCTTTGAATGTTACTCTGGTGACCTAAACTATTAAAGGTTAGAATTTAGAATATCATAAACAAGTCCTTGAACAACCTCTCTACTTAAAATCAACTGCTCTCAACCAGGGCAATTCTGGAAGGCATCTGAAAAGGTGTGGGTGCATTTCAGGTGGTCTCGCTAATGGGCGGAGGGGCGTGTAACTCGCACAGGGTAAGGTCCCGGGAAGCTACTGCAACCATCCAATTATCCACACAACTAAGAGTCTTTCCACACTAAAAGTTAAGAGCACCTCTACTGTAAGAACACTGATTTAAAACCAGAATCTTCCCTTCGTAAATCTTCATCAATTTGCTTGTAGCACATGTCTCCAACTGGACTGTGGCTCCCTTCTTGAGGGCAGTGCATCTCCTACCTCCTTGTAACCGCACAGAACCCAGCAGAGTGCTCTACCCAGAACATGTACTATTTAATAAACATCCGATGATGAGTGCGGGCAAGAGTGCTCCTTGACTGTCCCACCCAGCCTCACCTCCAGGCAGTTCCTTTGGTGACAGATGGGGCTATGGGCACAGATGAAAGACTACCTTTCCCCCACCTCCCAAGGGAAGCCAGTGGGGAGGGATGTTCACTTCTGTCAAGACATCACCTCAGACAGTGCATGTTCCCATCGCCACACTCCCCACTCCATCGCAGTCGGTGAGCACCAAATTGGGGGCGGGGGGGGACTTGAAAGTAACCGCCATCACACAGAGCTGAGAAAAGCCAGCATAAAGCACTTTTATTGCAATAATAAAACTTGAAACTCATTATGTGGTGCAGAAGATGGGGGAGGCAGCAACAACTTCTGTCACCAAATCACTACGCAGGACAGCAAAGGGGTAAGAGGGGGAAGGAAAAGCCAGGAAACTCTGAGATCAGCAGGGGGAGCCAAGCATCAAAGAACAGGAGATGCTGAAGCTGCGATGACCAGCATCATTTTCTTAAGAGAACACTCAAGGATCTGTGATGATGGCTGGGCTTTCGTTGGGTGTTAAGTGTCTACAAACAGCACCTTCAATTTAAACTTTCAGTTAAAGTTTTTAAAATTTAGGAAGTGGTAGAGCTTGGATAGCTATGAGATTACAAAAGTCCTGAAAATCCATTAGAAAAACCACCAGATGGCAAAAAAAAAAAAAAAAAAAAAAAAAAGCCAGGCCACAAAGAAGGCTTCAGAGTCCCTGCTGGCCCGGGACAGATACCTGTAGTGTCTAACACCGCAGTGAAAACGATCTGCTTTCAAATGGCAGCAGGTTTAAGGGGAGGGTGAGGTGGGGTGGGGCTGGTAGAGGCAAAGGCTCTCCCTTTCCCCACTTCAGTTTTGGGCAGGGCTTTTAATTCAACCCAAGGACACCTCTCTCAACCTGGAGAATCATTCAGCCCTCAACAGCGCCTCACATCTGCTATGGCTTTGCAGCGCAGCAGCAAGAATGTTTAATATATAATAGATAAAAATTTCATCCAAAAAAATAAAATAAAATAAAGTTTCTTGCACCCCCCCACACCAATTCCTA